CTACTCCCGAAGCTATACAGGGTACCCTTGCAATAATAGCTAGCTACCTCTATGATTGGTGAAGGGGGGTATTCAATTTGCATGTTGCCTTTTGCCCTGGTGGTTTAGAGTGGAGGGTTAGGGCCACCGGTGGGGGCGCGTCTAACATGAACACCAAGCATTTGGCCTGTAGTTGTACTTCCCTTTTCATCTTCCCCCACTCCCATTGAGTCAAAGCAGTGTCTAAGGCTAACACTCTCCCACACGCCACACACAACCCACTCAAACTCACACCTGTGTTGGCTAAAGATCCTATCTTACCGTCTGGGGGGATCAAGCTCACTATCTCAGCATACCCCAGGCCTCCACGGGATTGAACTTAGAGGAGTTAGAATCCAGTTTGAACTAGATGAGTGAAATACAATAATTTTGAATTACCTGGGACACAAAAAAAAACAATGCAACTGTTGGCGGTATATTTAGGTCGCCGATCTGGTAAGATCAGTAGCCAAGATCATTTGTTGCAAAAAAAAAATCGGTAAGTTTCTATTTTCTTTGGGTGTCGGGATGCAGCCCTCGCATGACCCCTGGCCGGTATCGCCCACCTGCAAGTTGGGTGCAACAACTGCATGTTCCCGCGTTGGAGGTTTGAACTCGGGATGGCTGCTATGGGTTCGCCATAATACTATACTGATTAAAAAAATGCCTGAAAGGTTGTTCTGTCCAGATTTGACAGGTGATTGAATTCATTTTGCTTGTGCGCATAAGAATTACCCTCTTATTTTAATTAAAAACATAAATTAAAATAAATCGTGTAAATCGTTTGTTATACTTGGTTATAAAGGCGAAAGAGTAATCCAACTGTCTAGTAGCTGGTTCCCTCCAAAGTTCTCTCTCTTTCCCATTTTGTCATCCTTCCCCTCCTTTCCCTCTTCTTTCTCACTTCTTCATCCTTCTCCTCCTTTCACATTTTTTGCGAACCCATCTCGAGTTCGTGCAACACCCTACTCCCATGACCCCTGTCAAAGGATCACACACATAAATTTGAATGATACAGAGAACACATAAATCAAGAAATACTCCAGGAGAAGAAAAAGAAAAAAAAATATATTTATAATCTCTCTCTCTCTCTCTCTCTCTCTCTCTCTCTCTCTCTCTCTCTCTCTCTCTCTCTCTCTCTCTCTCTCTCTCTTGTGTGCGCCCTTCTCTCACCCAATCAATAAACTAATTACTAGTAATTAACCCGTTGTTTTCTACATATCTCTTTTGTTTCAAAGATGTATCTTTAGTGAAAAGTATCGTGTATCTGACCGGGCACAACGTCCTCTACACATACTAGCAATGGAGCACCGTGTATCTCATAACTTTCATGATGTAAGGGATTCTTTTTTTTTTTAATGTTTTCGACATACATCCTTTTGAGATACGTGTTCATACTAGCAGTCCATAAAATATAAGTTACAACTATCATGGCTTTAGGGATGGTTTTTTTTTTTTTTTTGGTAAACCACTACTCCCTTTTACATAAACTTACAATGTCAATTTAGAAGCCTACTCCTTAAAACACGGGGTTCGGTGCAGGGTTGGAGGATAACGAAATAAAAATGAGAAAAAAAAAAAACATAGTGTTTTGAATATGGGGATGTCGGGGAAGACCCTCACGAGGGTGACACGTAACACCAGTGCTTTGAGGAATGTATTTGTCCAGTATGTGGGGCTAAAATTTTTATTTTTTTATTTTATGGTTTCATATCGTTATAGTGTCCTGCCAGCCAGACTGGGCATATTTCACGGATGACACATAACCTCTAAATAATGTAGCATCCTGTATCCGCCCTCAATCACATTATAACGCCCTCACTAAGGGCACAATGACATGAGCACCTCAAAGAATGTATCTGGTGGTTATTGTGGCGTTTGTAAAGTTTTTTTTTTCTTTTTCCCTTGTTTCTTGGACGAAACTGCCCTGGTTGAGCAAAACTTGGTGCACAGTGAAAATGAGGCTGGACAAAAACAAGATCGGAGGTAGTGGTGGTTTAACGTTTTAGTCAACATAGTTGTATTCTTCACTCATATGCTTTACACTACCTATCTTATTGTCTAAGCATACTATCGGTTCCAGAGATAATTATAGGTTTAACTGTTCTCTTTGGTAAAACCATCATACCCTGACTCTTTAACACCTGTCACAAGCTAGGAAAGGGCATACGTTGCTTCCACACCAGTCAAGAAGTTCAAGCGATTAATCTGTGCCGGTGAATCCGAAGCGCTTCCCGTGGCTGGGCGCGGGGAAGCGGGCTAACTCAGTTAGTTGAGAGAATAAATGAAATTAAAGAGGTTCTGGGTTCATTTTAGGGATGCTTTCTATTTTCTATTAATTTTTTTTTTTTCCCGTCGTTCTTAAGCAGTACAAGAAAAAAAAAATTAAAATGGTGCAGTGCAAACACCACCTTTGGCATCACACATCTATTTTCATGTACGAAACTATGCATGTGGGGCAACGACAAAAAATGTTTTTCTGAATGCCGCCTAACATGTACGAACCGCTATCGGTTCCCACCTAACACCGTACATGACTACCGACTGTACACCTTCAAACCCATTTTCTCCGGCTCGTCCCCTGATAAACCCTGCTGCAACCCCAAATTGGCCTGCACAACACACATGAAAACGAAAGTTTTACTACACGACAAAAGTTTATTGAGTGATGTGCAACTTCAAGTTGGTTGCGTACACACGTCCAAACATGGGACCTAGCCCTCCCGTCAGGGAGTGTAAAACCAATGGCACACCAACAAGTATTCAATAATTGTTACACCCAAGAGTTGTTGAGAAACAGACCGGTCCGATGGTTGAATCCAAATACCACCATAAGAGTTGTAGCATCATCAGATTCCTCCATCAGTAATGTTTGGCCACCCAGTATCATCATGATGAGGGGCTAATACAAGTCTTGCTCTTGCGTCGTTGCTATGGTGTAAACCTATCTCGAGGGGTGAGGACTCAAGAGAGTTTCAAGTTTCGTTGGTGTTCCTCCTCACTATACATAGACGAGCGAGAGGATGAGATAGATGAGTGTTCCCCCTTACTATATATAGATTACCGAGAGGATGAGATAGATGAGTAATCCCCCTTACTATACATAGACTAGGGAGAGGATGCGATAGATGGGTGTTCTCTCTTGCTATACATAGACTAGTAGCGAGAGGATGAGATCAATAAGTAAAAACATGTCAGTACATATATAAAAGTAAATTGATAGAAGAATATACAAAAACACCAGTACGCCATCCACGGATTTATGTAGAATCCAGGTGCAGTCAATCCAGTTCGTAAGGCATACCAGGAGGTCTTCGGTTCAATCTCCATTGACCTCATGTACCTTACTGGGCAAGCTTGGCGCCTGCTACTTAGAGATAGCTCGTTGCTCCCCCGAGTCGCATTGAGCAGTGACTGCTAATCAATGGAGTGTATTTGAATTCTATGTGATCACGAGAGCGAGGTCGTGGGTGTCAAGGAGAATGGGTGTCCCATTGGTTAGAGTTATTGAAAAAAGTCTTCAATCAACTGACGTCAGCTGAGAAATTTGCTCAACTATTTGAGTACGTATGGTGGGAGTGTCGCCTGGAAGTCGAAAAGATTGTCACAGATGCCCAAGGGAGTTGGACCGAATTCAAAAAGGGAATGCAGCGGAAGTACAAGTTGGGAGATGGGTTGCTAACAGGGGGAGGGGGGGTGCAAAGGCTGGAAAGGTCTATGTTCACAAAACGTGGGAGACAAGGGGTAGTAGGCGGTATCCTGCTCAACATCCTCTTAACTTACAGACGCAGATATTTTTTGCTTTTATAAGTAACACGCCGCAATCAAAACCATAATTTTCATAAATATAGAGTTACACCCAATAAACGACCAAAAGTAATGAGGTAAGTAGGTGCCTACATGTATTCTTCGAATCAATGTGTTTCAGCACAAAGTGTATGAACCTACTGAGCTGTCCAATACAACTCTCTCTCAACATGAGGAAAGGGGTAGTGAGGAAAGAGGGTGGAGGAGGGGAAAGTGATACATTGGTCGGTAGGTGCCTATATTTATTTACAGAATCAATATGTCTGAGCACAAAGAGTAGGCACCTACTGACCAGTAAAATATTACTCGACTCAGCATGAAAAAAAGGGTAGAGAGAGGTAGGGGGGATGGGGGAGGGAATATTGTATATAGGGATATGACTAGTATATAGCAATATGATTTTTATATACTTTTTTTTTTTTTTTTTTTTTGGCTCACAAGTGTGCAACACGATGAAAGCTGAGACTTGTTCAAATCGTATTGAAATTCAAACCTATTGGAACGTGTTGATAAACACTTAAGAATTTTCCCCAATCATTTTAAGCCCATTTTAAATTGTTTGTAACCACATGAAATCATGCTCTCTGTTTATCAACAATTATGGCAAATTGAAAACCCGCCCATCTCGCCGACTTTTTTTCTCTGTTGATCTCTATGAGCCACGACCGCCTGACCTGGAATCCTGTTTTGGTCGAAGAAGTCGAAAACCTCAACGAGATCAGGCAATCTCAGTCCTAGACTTGGATCCGGGTTGAAGAGGTCCATGAGTGATTTACCATATGCTTTATGTTTGTTCCACCTAGCAGCAACATGTTTGACATCTGAAACTCTCTGGCCCTTGCCGTTTAGGAGCATAGTCATATCAAAAGTGGCAACCGGACATCGCTTCCCCGACCAAAATGCAATGCCGCCTATCGGACTGAGTTGTTCTTGTAAGACGACGTACAGAAGCACACCACTTCCAGGCTCCCCAACCTCGTCCACCCAGTCCAACATCCAGAATTTGTCTTTGTAGTCAACGGCGGGCACGGCGTCAGATAGCCCATGGACAGACCTCTCGGCGGAGCCTGCATGCCCTGCTGTCTCTTGTGCGTAGTTTCGCCGACCACCACCAGACCCTTGACTGTCGGTAAGACAAAGAACCCCGCGAATTAGCATCAACACGACGTCGACAGGAAGGGGGACTGGGAGGAGGACAGAATGAACGAGCCTACCGACATCCCAATATGGACAACGAAGATAAAGGAGGGGCCGGTCTCAGCCGCCATGGGGAAAAGGAAGACAAACTAAAGGAGACAAATGAGGAGGAAGAACTTCAAGAAGAAAAGGACGAAGAAAAGGATGATGAAGAAGAGGAAGTAGTAGTAGTGGAAGAAGAAGAAGAAGAAGAAGAAGAAGAAGAAGAAGAAGAAGAAGAACTTGAAGAAGGAGGAGGAGATGACAATGAAGAAGAGGATGCAGGCAAAGAGGAAGGAGAAGGAGAGGGAGGAGGAGAGGGAGAGAAAGGCAGAGGGGAAGGGGAAGGGGAAGGAGGAGGGGGAGGGGGAGAAGAGGGGGGATGTGGAGAAGAGGAGGGGGAAGAGAGGGAAGGGGAAGTTGGACAAGGAGAGGGAGGGGGAGGGGGAGGAGGATGAGAAGATGGAAAAAAGGAAGGGGGAGGAGGAGGGGGGGAGGGAGAAGAAGAAGGGTCAGCGGGCCCACCAATTGTATCACACCTAAAAACATAAGTCACAGTGCAGACAAAACAGCCTATATAGCTTTCACGATTCTCCTATTTATGATCATTTTCATCTCACCTCACAAATATATATATAGTTGTTCCCAGATGAGGAGGAGACCCAAAAAAAAAGAAGAAAAGTTGTTGCTGTTGCTTTTTTAGCCCCAACCACCTAGAGATAGGCCGTTGGTCCCCCTGAGTGACATTAGCAGAGACTGTTGATGTTTATAGGGGGAGGGGACTGGAGGTGAGGCACAAGTCGCACAACGACTGGCCCATCGAAGAAGCTCGGTCCTGATGGTAACGGCTGACCCTTGGCTGGTATCGCCCACCTGCTGTAGCACGTATTGCACCTGCTGGTGGGTGCAACTCTTGCATGTTCCCTCGTTGGAGGCTTGAGCACGGTTGTGGCTGCTACAGGGTTGTAGCAGGTATTGCACCTGCTGGTGGGTGCAGCTCCCGCATGTTCCCTCGTTGGAGGCTTGATCACGGTTGCGGCTGCTACAGGGTTCCCCGTAAGACTATAATGACAATAAAAAGGCCTGAAAGGCGGTGCTATCCAGATTTGACAGTTAATTGCAGCAATTAGCGTTTTTTATTTTCTTATTAAAAAAAGTTCCAAGCCCCAGTAAGACTAGCCTCTAGTCATACTCACATTGGCGCTTGGCTGATGTATCTGACGTAGATCATGGCAAAAGCTCGATGCATCTGACTGCAATCACGTCCTGTCCAGATTTGACAGGTAATTGAATTGAATTAACGTCTTTTATTTTTTTTATAAAAAATAACGTCTTTATTCTTTTATAAAAAATAAAGTCAAAGTCCCAGTGCGATTAGCCTCAGGTCATACTCACATTGGCACTTCCCTGATGTATCTGACTTCGATCACGGCAAAAGATGGACACATCTGACGGCAATCACATCTACAGTTGAGTCCAACATTTAGTTGTCGTGTGAGTATGCCCTTCAAGATCTCAGTCGGCTCGGAGTCTTTTTTTATTTTTTTATTTTTTTAATATCAAAATACGGGCCCAGTGCCCAAGGCTTATATTACCAAGGAGCTGTCCTATACCTGCCTTTCTGGTTGGGGAGCAGTTTGGTCGGTTTGTAGAGGTCACTACCTCAACTCACGGCCTCAGCAGACCCCAACTGTCTTTTCAATAGTACCCCTCACAAGCAAAAAACTCCCCACGGTTCTTTTTTTGCATCTACAGTTGTCCCTGTTTAACAGTTTCTCTTCCATCTGGGCCTCCTAGATCTACAATAAGATTGTCCTTTGCTTAGAATCTGTGTTGGGACAAGGAGTTGAGCAGGACTCACCCTGGATGCAGTAGGGCCTCGTTGGGCCAACCGCTGCCACTTCCTTGCGCAGATACAGTATATGTAACCGGCTGAGGACCGGTCGCTGCAGGTTGTGAAGACTCGCGCGGTGCGCCCTCCGCAGCTCGACCGCCAGCCGCTGCGCTTATAGCATACGCGAACCTGTCACATCGCACACAACAGTCAACCACTCGTTGGGAAGAGAGCTCGTTTTCCCTCGCCGATTTTGGCCAGGGTCCGTGTCCAGATACCCAGCCCTTCCACTGCTTCCCACGCACCCTATCTGCTTTGCCCTTTCCCTACGTCTCGCAGTCCCCCAGTCAGTTTGCAGTTTCTGTACATTTCACGTCGGTCAGCAGTCATTGATCCTACGCGGTCGTCGGTCTCCTTAAGGATTTGGTAAGCCCGTCCTTTCCCATGGCTCACACCGGCTGGAACGAAGGCCAATCCTCCTCGGCTACTCCTGTTTCTGTGCTCCACTCCTCCCCTCCCACCTCCCCCCCTGTCTCCTCCCCCTTCCTCAGCTTCCTCTCGTCATCACCTCCCTCCTCGTCTCCCTCCCCCTCTCCTTCCTATCACTCGCTGCCGTAGTCTGATGTCGTCTTCTTCGATCCTCTCCTCGGATCGCACTTTCCTTCTCATTACCTTCTACAGTCATCTTCCCCTGAGCCTTCCCGCTTATTCCTTAATCACTTCTCAACCCTCTTGTCGCCCCCTCTTCCATCTTCCTCTCCCCCTCCTATCCTTTCGGATGACGCTCTCGATAACTTCTTTGTTATCGATCCCCCTACCGCATCGGTTCTTCCGCTCAAACTGTTCCTCCTTCCTCGCATCATTCTCCCCTCCATGATCGAACTTCAGAAGATTCTTTTCCTTGCACGTTACGGCTCCGTTCTCAATCCGCAAGACGTTGCAGACTTCACCAAGAGTGCAGCAAAGTTCAAGTTCAGCGGCAAGACTGACCCTATGTACTTCCTTATGCGAGACACTGCTGCAGAGCTTGTTTCCCATTCCTTCTTCTCCCCCTCATTGCTTAGATCCACTTTCATCGACAACAGGAAGAGTCTAGAACTATACCAGAGTGCACTGTGTTGGATTGTAACACATTGCACTGCTGTGTTGGACTAAAACACAGTGCAATGTGGTGTTGAAGTGCAAGGACTTCAAAACTGCTAAACAATTGTATCCTCTGCACACCACAAAGGAGGTTCTTGAACCCTTCATCGACAGTTTTAACAGGCGCGGGGCTAAGCCCAGTACTTTGTTGGACCACATTGAACGTGCCAAGCAGTGGAGGAAGCTGGAGGACAAGAGAATAAAGGAGGCAGAAAGAACAACTCGCGATTTCTTCCGAGGTGCGGCTTTGGACGAGCCTTTCGCTGACTGGACGGGAAGACAGAGAGGAGGATAGAGCGAAGGACAGAGAGGAGGACAGAGAAGAGGGTGGTCTAAGTAGATAAGGAGCAGTGTGCCCAGCGAGTCCCTCTGAACAAGCGATGAAAATGTCGGCAGTTGTTTTGCGTGATGTCTGCAAGTCTAGTCAATTGAAGCCTGCACTCGGAAACAGAGGAGTCAAAGAACGGACGATCTCTAGACGATCTCGTGATGTCCCCTTGAATGATTTGGGCCCCTCTAGCGGTGGGTGCCGACTTAAAGCTAAGTCGATTTATAGTCCTAAAAATCAATGTTGCTAAACAGAACTAACCAGCAAGGACTCCTTATCTCCCTGAAACGAATTAGCTTTAGAATCCTAACAGTGAATTCACTTTGCTAAAGATCGTTGTTGCTAAACAGAAGTAACCAACAAGGCTCTCCTAGCACCGGAGGAGGGGCAAAGGGATGAAGATGACATGGGTGAGGGAGACGATACGGAGGAAGAAGGAGAGGAAGAGGAAGAGGAGGGAGAGGGGGACAAAGAGGAGGACAAAGAGAAGGACAAAGAGAAGGACAAAGAGGAGGATAGAGAGGAGGATAGAGTGAAGGACGGAGAGGAGGACAGAGAGGAGGACAGAGAAGAGGGTGGTCTAAGTAGCTAAGGAGCAGTGTGCCCAGCGAGTCCCTCTGAACAAGCGATGAAAATG